CCTGGGGGGGAGGCTTTGGGGCCCAAACTTGCTTCAGATTTCTGTTTCAAAGAATTCAAGGCCAGGGGGCAAGACAAGCCCGGTTTAGGTGTTGGTGGGCCCCGGGGCACAGGCGGAGGCCTGTGGAAGACGGGACAAGTTTCGAGGCCCCCCAGGGATGTGCCGTGTCCTGGTTCGGACTATAAGTGGGGGGCATGTGCGCCAGAGTTGAGAAGCGTGAGTGACAGATGGCAGAGGGGCCCAGGGCTGCCTGACCCCTTCCTGGCTTCCCGCTTACACACAGATTGTAGGAGAGTGCCCGGAACCAGACCGTTAGGGTCTGGTACTATGAACGGGAGCTTGGACGTCGGGGGTTAGGGAACTATAAGCAGGGGAGCTTCCAGGTCTGATTTTAAAATGGTTTTCCTGGCAAGGCTGGTGGCAGGACCACCAGGCGCCTACAATGGTCCATGCTGGAGCCGACGAGGGCTTATCAGCGAGCAGAGAGAGGGGCAAGGGCTAGCCAGCACAGGGGGTACCAATGGCTGTGCTCAGCAACCACGACCTGAAGGCCACGGGGGTGGAGGGAGGAAGGGGGTGCAGGGTGCCTGCCTGGTTTTGCTTATATCCAAACACCAGCAGACGTGTCCCAGTCTCAGCCTAGATATCGCAAACCTGGCCTACCAGATGGAGCCTCTAGATGCCCTGGGCAGGACTCAGGTGTGAGGGGAGAGCAGGATGCTTCAGGGACAGCTGGAGGACCTACGTGGTGGGGAGGCTCCTGAGGCCACTGAGGGGTCTCTTGGGCCCCGCATGGCGGTGCCTGGCTGGTGTCTCACCAGCAGGGACTTGGAGGAGAAAGATTTCTTAATTGAAATTTTGATTGTGATCACTGTCGGCTCACATACGGGTGTAAGAAATAGTACCAGGTTTCCCCAATGGTATTATTTTGCAAAGCTTTAGTACAATATCACCACCAAGATATTGACACAGTTTGCCCATCTTATGTAGATTTCCCCAGTTTTACTTGGACGTGTGTGTGTGTGTGTGTGTGTGTGTGTGTAAATTCTATACAAAATTTGGAGTGTTTTTAAATGAGGGAAGCAGATGCCCCCAAAGGTCATCTGTGGTATCAGATCGCCAATCCTAGAGGCCCTCAGATGTGAACTTACCACCCATAACCTCTCCCCACGCTCTGTGGGTGTCTACTTGCACCTCCCACGGTGGCTCTGCAGTGGGAACTGGTGATGGGAGAACAGGAGGGTGTGTGCACACACACATATGCGTGCGTGGGGTGGGGGTGCTCTGGTCACTCCCTCATCCACAGTGCACACTCCTGCCAGGGCTCCCCGGCCCACTCATTACTGCCAACCCTTCATAGTTATGGGAGTGGGAGCTGGAAGCCTGGAAATCTCAACTACCCAACCCCCAGTCACATTTTCAGGAATTCCAGCCATAAACCTCATCTACTCAAAGGTGACGGTTTTCATCTGCAGGGAAAGGACGAACAGGCAAGTCCAGACTCACCATTCACCGCTGTGCAAACTGTGCCTTGCACAACTCCAGGGGGTGCTATTCACATGCCAACATCATAGCGTTTACAGTAGGGATGACATATTTCGAATAAAAGGCAGAATGGCACGTTGAGAAAGTGGAGCCATTTCCTAACTTGCACAAATCTCCCTCCCTGCCAGCTAGGTGTGGGGCTGTAAGACCCAGGACGGAGCCAGGAGAGACGGTGATGGGAAGGGCAGGGGTCATGGGGGAAGCAAGAACCCCGGCACATGGGAGGGACTGCGCATTCCTCTCTATGGTACACTTCACTGCAGACTCCATTCTGCTGGGAGGAACCTCGATTTTGTGCTGGTTGCCCATAGAAACCCTCCGCAGTTAGAAAATAACAACCAGGCTGGGCACTGAGACTTCCTGAAACCTGGGCCACCAGGCAGGGGGCAAGCCCCAAACAGCCAGAGTAATTAAGCCTTACCTGGAGACTCACAAACGACAGAACCCACCCACCCAGGGTTTCCTGGTGGGGGGGGAGGGGCTATGCTGGAGGGGCTTGGGGGAGGGAACAGAGGAGAGGAATAGAGAGCGCCAAAGAGAAAAGCGGGGTAAGACTGGCACCAGGAGGGCAGCACTGGGGGAGGAGACAGAGAGCGGAGACATCAGCACAGAAGGATGGCTCCCAAGGCCCGGGCCATGGACCGGCCGCACAGAACGGCCATCCGGGGACGCGGGGCACCAGGAGCCTGAACATCTCGCCTTTCCAGAGGCGCGAGCAGGGGAACCTCCTCGTCTGCTTTCCTCTCCCTGGTTATTCGTCTTCCTGTAAAATGACTTAATCCATCGCCAAGGTCCCCTTCCCTGGCACCTGGAAGGGGTGGGCGGGCAGAGAGGCGCTGCCCTAGCAGGAGGGCACTCGGCCACTGTGCCCGGCTGGGCCACCCGGAACGTAATTTGCATTCCCTGCTCGGGGAAGCTGCTTATGAGGCTTCCCACCAGAGGATTACCGAGAAGAAACACAGCAATAAAAAAGCTTAGGAGATTAATCAGATGAAAACATTAGCAAAAACACATCCGTTCAGAAAGGTTTTCTGTAAAAAAACAACAACAGAAGAATGGGCTGAAAAATGAAGCCTTTTGAATAAAAGCCTCCCTTTAATAAAGAGCATTCGGCATTCTTGTTACTAATGATGATAATGTTAGTCCTTAGCAGTTGGGTAAGAGCTTCCAATATGCCAATTATCTGATAAATATCCAGCCCTGGGGGAAAGGCCAGTCTCCTTGCTGGCTCAGAGGCAGGGAGAGCTCCCCCCTCTCCCCGCCTCGGGCACCCCAACCACCGGCAGGTGGGAGGGAGCCCGGGCCGCCCGCAGTGGCCTGATGACTCAGGGTCTATGGGGGTTCCCTTTATGAGAAAAATTGAGATATGATTCACATGCCACAAATTTCATCCTGTTAAAAGTGTACAGTTCAGCGGTTTTAAGTATATTCACAGAACTGTGCAACTATCACCACCATCTAATTCCAGAATATTTTCGTCGTCCCCAAGAACAACTCCGGCACCCACTCC